TCCGACAGATTACGGGCACCTCGGCCGGGATTCGAATCTGCCACCTGAAAACCCGTAAAAAAAATAAATAATAAAGCCAATCTTGTAAAAATAAGTAGGATGGCTTTATTAGGATCCTTTAATTAAGACGGTGAAAGTTGTGCTTTAACCGTGAACCCTTCCAGTGCCCCGGCGAGAGCAAAACAATGTTTTCCCGCATTCCGAAAGTTCATTAATATGGCAATTTGGGCCAGTTGGTCCACGATCGTAGACAGGCGCCGAAAAAACACAAGGACAAGAAGAGACGTAAACACTGGCGCACTCGCAACTAACATTATAAATGTTAGTTGCGCCAGTGTTTACGTATTTTCTTGTCCTTGTGTTTTTTGGGCGCCTGTCTAAGTTCTTAAAGTTCCCCAATTCAAGATGGCGACAACCACGTAGAAGAGCTCAAGGGTATACAGTGCATAGCCGGTGACAGAAAAGGCACAGAAAATCGATGGACACAGTGAAGTTGCGCTTTTGGCGCTTCTTTATTGGACCAAGCGACTCGCGTCGGTTACGCTCTGACTCACGGTGAAACAAAGTATCCGCAACTTCAATGTCATTGAGTTCATATATTCATCTAGTGCAGGGATCAGCAAGTTACGGCCCACAGACAATATTAGACGGCCCGACACGCTACAATAAATGCCCCCCCCCCCCCCCCAATGCTCTAAAGAGCAGGGGGGGGGGGGGGCGATTATAATTAGATATAAATAATTATAAATGTCCCCCCCGCCCGCCCCGAACACACACTACAGGACAACAGGTTGTTTTGGCTGCAATCTCTGCATAATCAGGCGTATTAACTCCGTCCAAGTTTCAAAAGATTTGCCGGAAAGAGTTCGCTGATCAGCTGATCCCCAAACAAACTATAAGCTGACAAATCTATTTGAAGAGAACGGCTTCAAAGATTTCCGCGGGCCTCCCTCAAATTTCCATATCTACGAAATATCGCAGCTGCCTTGATCGAAGTGTTTGCTACAGTACGTTATTTGCGAACATACTTTTTGCAGGTGAAGACCGTGCAGTCAAATGTGTACCTTGCGAATGCCAGGATTGCACCTCCAAAATATTTTACGACTCTCAATGGTGGCAAGCAATATCGAGCACCCAAAACCTTACTAAGAGGGGGCTCGTGTAATCGTTCGTTACCTGACCTGATTCATCTTCGCATACCACTTTGAGTATGTAACAGTTTTCTAGAGCGCAGCTCTTAGGCGCCCGTTTCCAGCTTGAATGGCGTCGGCGTCGGCGTAACCGTGAAGTCACATGACCCCCCCCTCCCCCGATGTCACGTGACCCCCCAGGAAGTCACACTTTCAAGCCATAACTATCGCTAAGCACCTACTCTTCATTAAGTACCAAAATGGCGGCGCCTACAAGATAATCGAGGAATGAACGGAGTGCCGGTAATCTAGTCGTAACATACTTGGTGGCTCTTGAAGATTTTACGCAAGGGTTTTTCAAACTTTTAAATATTTAGTAACCCTTATCATTCCTCGAATGGCAACTGGAGGACCCCTCTAAGTTTTGGCATCGGTGCAATATAGCAGTGAGGAGGCCTGCAGGCTTTGCAAACAATGACGTGTCTTTGGCCCATAGTTATATATATGGGTGAGGGGCCTCAGATCTGCTACAATAGTGCTTTGACTGGAAAATTAGAGACAGGGGCGCTCGAGGAGATTTAGGAGATTGTAATACCCTCGAGGGTGTCTCGGGAAACCTTTGAGGGAATCCCGAGGAACCTTCGAGAATATCCTGAAAAACTCTCGAAGGTATCCGGGAGAACTCTTGAAAGAACCCCGGAGAACCCACGAGTGTATCCCGACGAACCCTCGAAGGTATCCCGAGGAACCCCTTGATTTCCTAGAAATTCAGTTTGGGAATCTATGCTCAAGGGCGGAGGTCTCTAAACCACGGCCCGCGAGCCAAATCCGACGCGCGGAGGTCTCCCGACCGGCCCGTGGCAGGCCGTGGTCATTCCAATGAAGCCCCGACACGCGGTTCACTTCCAGCAGGCCCGCTACTATACCGGCGTAAAAATAAGCGCGCGTCGACCGTGTAAGCTGAGATACCAGACAGAAAAAAAAAGATAAAATTGCATATCGTATGCGTGTCCTCTCGTCATATTATTCGCTGCACATTGCCCTCACCAGCATCATCATTCTCAGTCCCCCGTTTCATATCTGTGTAACTTCGTATGTTTGCTTAGTGTCCTGTGTCGTATCTAGTGCATGTTGTCACTCTTCAGTAATTAGTCTTCTGCCCATGCTGGAACATGAGAAAGTTTCTATGTGCTTTGATTTATGCCTGGTGAGGTTTCTGGGTCCCCATATTGTGTAATAGCTTTTAGCTAAATATTACATTTAAAAATAAAGTTGTTGTATTCATCCAGCGTACATTCTTTATGCACTTTTTACTCTAACTTTCAATTTTATATTTAATAATTGCGTATTTAGAATTATTTATTTAGTTTTTTTCTTGTTCTTTATTTTCCGGCCCCCGAGACAACGACGGGTCCGGCCCCTTGGCGAAAATGTTTGGAGACCCCTGCTGTAGGGGAACGGTTTGTAAATCGAAAGACCGCCCAGAAAGCGAGTCGTGAACTCACCGTTGTGGTAACTGGGTGTTCCAGAGCGGCGTCCGGAGGCACGAGCGAACATGCCACGCTGCCGGGTGTCCCCACACAGTCCATGCAGGCCATTCCGCCTCCAAGAATCACACGCTGCGCGGTGTCAGCGATACGGAGCCTGCAATGACGACACGTACCCGTGTACTTGTCTGCATCGAGGACGACTGTATCTGGCCACTGCGCGACACGTTCAAACGAGTCACGAAATTTGTCGATATTGCCAATCTATTACACCATAATCCGATGTCTCCAAGTGTTGTTTTGGTTTGCATACGGTTCAGCAAAAGTTGTAAAACTGCTTCAAATTTTTTGCGCACTTGCGCTTTTGATGGCCGAATTTTGGGCGGCTCTGATGTCGGTGTCACGTGGTTGAGCATCTTCGAGCATCGTCTGGGCATTAAAGATGGACACCAAGATGGCTGAAAAGTCGTTACAAGCATGAGTAATTTAGTGTCTTGACTTAAACAGCGCAAATTTGAAATAAGTTACGTAAGGAAGAGACAACAGGAAGGAAAGAGCGCTGACTCACAACTGAGGTTTTAATAATGATGTAGTGAAAGAGAAGGAAGGTGTCAAGTGCTGTAATATTATTAAATTAAAGAAGGTTACAATTATCAACCTCTTTCTAAGGGCCATATTAAGGGAATGACAATGTACATTTCTAAGTAACCCAGGTGAATATATCTACGTACAAATATTCAGATGTAATCTACAAAGTTGTCGGTGACCCAACGGTTACTGGTTGTCACAGCCAGAAAAAAAGAAGGAGAAACACGATGTCGACGGTGTCGACAGTGATCCCAAGGGCGTTGGCTTTATATATATATATATATATATATATATATATATATACATCACACAAAAGGACAATCTGCAAAACACGAGTGACCTCAATATCCGTGGTTCAAATGCCGCGTGTCAAGTTTCCTCCTTGAACTCATTGCCATGCGGCATTCTAAGCACGGATCTCGCGGTGAAGTTCGAATCTGTATGAGGACTGTCTTTTGTACGATGTACATAGGCAGTGTTAGTACAACTAAATAAGCTACGCTTTAGAGTAACGACACTTGCCCATATTGTGGCTTAAAATCATGGTTGCCAGTTATCTGAAGCTCTATTTGAAATCACAGGAAATGCTTTTCCGCCTTCACAAATGTTTGAACAGTTCGCGACAGAGGAAAGCAATATTATTTCAGCTTCCTAGCTCCGAATCTAATGCTGAGGGAGTCGCGCACGTTTGAATCATGACGATCGGCAGTTGCGTCTACTCTGCACAAGCACCAATATGGCGGCGCCCACAACAATGTCGAGGAACAGAGTGTCGATACTCTAAGCAGAGCTTAGTGTCTCTAGGCAGTGTGACCCGGGCTTCTTTTAAATCGCAGACACACTGCTCGTACATCATACAAAAGAGACGGCGTTCGCTGCTGATATAACAAGAGAATTGTCTGCGAACATGCATGTTGGAACCAAGTAGGCTTTGCTGGTCACGTAAAGTGGGCTGAAATGTATATTCAGGTGTGATATCTATTTCATTAAAAAGGCGCCTCAATACTCGTTCAATCAATTATGAACATCAATACGCAACTGCACGCCGAATTTCGCAATTAGGCGTGGCTGGTCATGTCGTGACGTCACATCAGACATTGTAACGTGCAGGGTCGCGGGCGTTGGCTTATTCCCGGCTTTGATCAACGTGGCTGATGGTGCGTGCAAAGATCATCGTCGAAGAACTGAGCTTCCCTCAATACCGTCAATCTTGACTTTCTGACGTTGTTTTACCGAGACAGCAGTCCAAGAGCTGTCGCGGCTCTCCTTGCACGACGTTACGTCAGAGCTTCCACTGTTGCCAACGAAAACGATGTGTGTTTCGCGGGTTCATTCTGCGCAGAATTACTCGTGCGTGGGAGGATTAAAAATTCGAATATTGCGCGGAAGATATTTCTGAAAGCAATAACAATATAATTTCTTAACAGTGATAGAGTTGGGGCGAGCTGGTAATGAATCGACATCTTGCAGACTCTGAGATGGGGAACGATAAAAAAATGGACCCCATCTCAGGATCTACAAGACATAATTTAGTTGTTTTCTGAAACACAAAAGTTTACCGGACGATCCTTTTGAAGGTTTCATCCATAAACACGTGATGTCTGTTCGGTTTGTAAAGACATCCTTCTGGTTTCCTATAGTCAAGTGGTTGGGGGGATCGGTGGCCGGGGGGAGAAAGAAGAAGACGCCGTTTCGAACGGTCGTGCTTTCATGTTCTCCGTTGAAAATCAACAATCGGCCTCAGGCCGAGGAAACCCATCTACCTCTGCTTCTTATACTGGTAACGAAAATCACAAGGTGTACTCGGTGAACCCTGCAGCGGCACCCGTGGCCCCAAGAGACGTTCCCATTCCGGCAACCGGCCAAGATGAGTATAAGATTATACTTCCACGTTTTCCATCTGGGGCCTTGTGCGTAAATTCGGTCTTCCTCCACGCTGACCTCACGGGTCGGCCCTACCGTGCAGTTGACTTTCGCGATGGACTTAGAGGAGTCGTCGACCTCAACGAAGTGGTGTCTCTCGGGCAATTTCAGATGAGCCATGTGTGGATGGCGACGCTGGTTAGTCCAGAAGCCACCGAAAAGTTGACAACCGCGAAAGAACTCAGCGTAAAAGGGAAAAAGTGTTTAATCATCGACCCGAACTCAAAGGACGTGAAGCTCAAGCTACTCTGGCTGCCGTCATACTTAGAAGATAAAAAGGTCGTTGAAGCCTTAGCACCGTTCGGCACGGTTCGAAGCATGGCGCGAGAAAAGTGGCGCGTGCCAGGAATGGAGAACATGGAGACGCTGAACAGGGAGGTCTGCCTAACGCTGCACGACACCGTGACGTCGGAAGACATCCCTCACCTACTGAAGGTTTCCGGCATACAATCCCTCCTGGTGATGTCGGGACGACCACCCTTGTGTCTACGATGCAAGAAGGTCGGTCATATTCGACGACAGTGCCGTACTCCAAAATGCGCACGTTGTAATCGATTTGGGCATGAGAGCGACGAGTGCTTTTCAAGCTATGCAACTGTAGTACGAGGCTCTGGAAACGACCCTGACGCCAACCCGGAACTTTTGATGGATATTTCCGAGGTCGTAGATGCTAGCGGAGATGTTCTCTCCACTCAAGCGCAGCCCAGAGAGGCACTGCCTCAGAGTTCCGGCGAGAGCGAAACGCAAGTTGAAAAAGAAGCTTCGGAGGTACTCCAAGACACAACATCGACAGAAGCCGTGAAAGAATTTTCCCAGGAAGGACCAATCAAGGACACCTTGTCAACACCGGAAACGGAGGCACCGAAACAGTCAGCGGTGTCTGCAGACGGACTTACAACGTTTGACAACAAAAGTGACCCGTCAGCAATGGACCTAAGCCCCAGCACGTGCAAGGACAATAGTGACACCAAGAGGAAAAAACACCCGCCTGACACCATCGCGAGTAAGCGAAAAACCTCCCTTGCACACTAGAGTACATGACCAAACCCCACCCACCCCCCTCCCCTTGCCCTTCCACCTCCCCCTCCTCTATCCTATCCTCACCCCCCTCCTCCCCTTCCATTGCCTTTAAGTGATAGCCTTCGTATTGTTACCCTAAACGTAAGAGGATTTAACTCCCGAAAGAAACAATATCATTTGAAACGTCTACTTGAAGACAAAGAGGTAGACTTTCTAGCCGTACAGGAAACAAAACTGTCAACGGTAGAACAGGTAGAACAGGCCATACAACATTTCCTGTATGACTACGAGGTATGCGTCAGCCATGCTGTAGGTCTCTCCGCCGGATGTTTATTGTTTATTAGAAAGTCTTTTCATTTGTCTGATTTAGCTGTCACGACAGACCTTTGCGGGCGCTTCATTATGTGCGACTTCCGAGTTTCCGACATAATGTGGAGAGTGATATGTGTTTATGCGCCGAATGACGTGAATGCTAGAGTAACTTTTTTTGATCACCTGCGACCTTATTTACTTTGTGATAGAATGGTAGTTCTGCTTGGAGACTTTAACTGCGTTTGCGACGGAGCAGACAGAGCACCATATAAACTTCGAATTGACAAAAGTGAACGACTACTACAGGACATTGTGGACGAGTCTAATATTTTCGATGTTGCAGCATTTCAGCTAAAGGAAAAACACTTACCATATACCCATTTTCAAAACACATCAAACGCAAGACTTGATAGGATTTACTGCTCAGTAGACCTTATTGACAATTTAAATGGTTATGCCGTAGATCCAGTTTTTTTCACCGACCATTGCATGGTATCAATAACAATTGGAAGGAAACGAAGAAAAAAGTGTATAAACTGGAAAGTATGGAAACTTAATAACCAACTGTTAAAAGATGAAAACTTTGTCGCAGCTGTGACCGATCTTTTTGAGCGAATAGGAAGAACAACTGAACATATATCTGTTAAATGGGAGCTTTTTAAACAAGAATTTAAACAGATGGCAATTGAGAGAGCTAGTGTATTAAAATTCCAAAAGTCTGAGACCGAGAGGACGTTGATAAGTAATTTACGTGCCTTGGTTCAACTTGAATGTCAAAACTCTGGACAGGGTTTCGAAGATATTATCCGCATAAAAGCCGAGCTTGATAAATTTCACCAAGAGCGTTATCAAGGCGCTGTTATACGTTCTCGTGCTGTAAAAATATTTTTTAGGAGAACAGCCAACAAAGAAGGTAATAGGGGAGGAGAAAAGGTATGCGATGACTAAAGAAATTCAAGAGATAAGGCAAAACAACATGATTATTAGAAATAGCGAAGCTATAGTCGAAGCCTTTTCTGAACATTACAAAAAGATATTCGGCACAAAGGTTGCCTCTACAGATATAGAATATCTAAAGGAGCTTGTAACATTGCTTCCACAGTTAGAAAAAAAACACACAAAAGAATTGGAAGAACCGATCAGTTTAGCTGAGGTAGAAAACGCTGTGGATGCCCTTCCAACAAACAAAACCCCAGGACCGGATGGTATTACTGCAGAATTTTATAAACTTCGCAAAAACACTTTATGTCCCATCTTGCAGGAGATTTTTCAAGAGGCCTACAGAAACAAAAGTCTCCCGCCCTCATTTCTGCATACACACACTATTCTTATTCCAAAGACAGATGACCAAAACAAACTTTCACAAGTGACTGGCTATCGACCAATCACATTATGCAATGTGGACTATAAAATATTTGCTAAAATACTGACAAATAGATTGCAGCGCGTCATTTGCGAGTTAGTAGGGGATCACCAGACGTGTGGAATTCGTGGAAGGTCCATTCAGACAAATATTCATATTGCCAGAAGCGTATTAGAGTGTGTCACCAACAGCAGCTCTCAGGTAGCGATGCTGCAAGTTGATCTCGCAAAAGCATTTGACCGTGTTAGTCATAATGTTCTTTTTATGATTTTGTCGCACATTGGCGTTGGTGATATGATACTTCATGGCGTTAAAATGTCGTACACAAACTGTTGTACACGCTTAATCATAAATAACAACGTTACAGAAAGCATTCCAATTTGTTCTTCAGTTCGACAGGGCTGTCCATTATCTCCATTACTTTTCACTCTATATCTAGAACCTTTGTGCCAAAGTATAATAAGAAGTAGAAAAATACAAGGCTTTACTTTGAGTAACACTGAAATTAAAGTTCTAGCATATGCTGACGATGTCGCATACTTCTGTAATGATAAGAAAAGCGTGACCCATGCCATGGATCTCACTCGCAGATTTTGTGAGGCCACTGGAGCCTCGGTAAATCTAGATAAGTGTCGCGGATTCTGGCATGGGACCTGGGCGACAACGCCCAAGCAATACGAAGGCATAGATTGGAGCTGCACTCCGTGTAACTATCTAGGGGTGCCATTGAAACACTACCGAAATAGCACGTCCTACTGGTCCGGAGTTGCGACTGAATTGAAACAACGAGCCAATAACTGGTCACAAAAGAATTTGTCAGTGTTTGCACTTTCGACCATCTGTAATATGTTTTTGGCGGCTAAAGTATGGTATGTCTTGCAGGTATTGCACTGTACACGAACAAGTATTCAAAAATTACACAGGGTTTTTGCTGTTTTAGTATGGAAGTCCACTTGGGAACCCATGCGTCGTGACAATTTGTTCTGTCGTGTATCAGATGGTGGACTCGGCCTTCCCCATTTATTTATACGTCAGTTGGTTTCACGTTTTCTTTTCCTACGGGACCAGAAGCACCCTTTTCTTCGTGAAGTCATTCAGAATAGGCTCGCATACTACCTACCTGACTTTATCGTATCCACCGTGGGAGACCAAACCTGTTTGTTAGTAGGATATCTTAAAGAAGTAGTCGATGCTTTTCAGTTTTTATCAGTAAGGTTTTCAAAAGAATACTTAGTGACTGTTTCACGTAAAAAGTTGACAAGGGATCTTGTGAAAACCCTATTTCCAATGCCAATTTACCGCTCAATGTTTAGCAATGTTTCCCAACGGGATGTACTGCGCCGGGTAAAGAAGATGCCCATCCCCCCTGCAGCAAAAACTTTCTTTTTCAAATTGCATTGTTCCGTGTTACCCACGAAAGTGTGGCTACAAGAGAAAGGAATATTCGTCCCGTGGTCAACAAACTGTACATTATGTAAAACGCCTGAAACCATTGAACACATTTTTATTCACTGTTGGGATGCCATTTTCTTCTGGGATATTCTGCAGCGCACTTTAAAAAAGGATATTGATATTACACCCTATTCAATTCGTTTCCTGCCTGTATCATCTAGAGATAACTTTCCGTATGACACTGTAATGCTCCTAGCGTTGTATAGCATGTGGAAGTCCCGCCTCGACATAAGGAATGAGAATTTGCATCCAAAAACAGTACGCCTGCATTTCATTCAACTTGTTATCCGCGTCAAAAGCGTGTATGATATCCAAACTGTAGTTCCTGACTGGCTGCCTCTGTTTAACAGTCTTGTAGACATTAGAGAGTTTTAACATGTGTAGTATGATTGTGTAGAGTGTACCCTGAACGACAACGTTGTGATCCCATGGTTTCTTCTTCCATGTAATAAAGAAAAAAAAAAAAAAAAAAAAAAAAGGGGGATCGGTGGCCGAGTGGTCTAGCGCACACCAGCTCGACGCACGTGGAGCGAAAGCTCGCGCTGCAGAACCCAGGGATCCTGGGTTCGAGCCCCACCCCTGCCCGTTTCGATCTGGATGAGCATCGTACCGGCGTGCGGTCGTGTATCACTACTGCGTGATGCACGTTAAAGACCCCAGGCTAGCGGTACCGCACTGGCTAAATTTCTCATCTACAGCTGGGAGACTCGTCGCCCCTGTGAGGCAGACCAAGTTCTAGGCTGTATAAACACACACACAACCCAATTTTTTATAGTCAAGTGGCGATTCTCCGGTGTCCCCCACCCCAGCAGGTGAAGACCAAGCATCCACACTAGAAGCGATTCCCAGAGCACGAGCTCTACCTTCTCTGTGGTAAAAATGCGAAGAAAAAAGCAACTGCGGTTGTCAAACGACGCGTGCTTCCGCTCCGGCCTGCAGCGTTTGTAAACATGTCCTGTATCCCGCTTCGTACAGTGCACTGCAACGCTGTCAGAGCTGCTTGCGCGAGCCTATACTTGGCTTGACATATGTTATATACATGCCTTTACTTGTTATCACGAGTTCTTAAGAGACTTTGTTGTCTAAGGAAGAAGCCATGCTTTTGGAGTTTGAAATGTGTACGTCTCGATAAGATATCTAGCCTAAAGGGCTACTAGATATATCTTAGTTCTCCACATAAATGGGTAAATTAGTAACGCTCCGCGAGGAGCCGGACTTTTATTTACTACGGCGGTGAAGACGTGTAGTTTCAATGGCACGCGCTGTCATGATAATGAGACATCAGATAAAGCAACGCACTAGCGTCAGAAGCGCTAACAGCCTTGTATGCAATGCGTGAAACAAGTATCAGTCATCTCCCGTTTCAGGAGCTTGACATTTACTTCTGGATCATGGATAAAGTTTAACATTTACACAATCGGTGTGAGGTGAGCACCGACATATTGCTGGTGAACGAATTCTCAGTCACGTATTGTACACCAAGCCACGAACTCAGCATTTGTTTTACGTCACAGATAGTAAGCGACATCTTCCTATAGACCCTAAACGTTTTCACGCTCGGTATACTCATAAAACAATATTCCATCCAATTCCCCAAAAAGTTCTAATGCGCCTCAGCACATTTTACATTAAGGTTTTTTTTTTCTTTTTTTTTTGTGCGTGTCTATGTGGGCGAAGTTTCTTTTTTTTTTTTAATTTTTATACATGTTTTGCGCGTGATGCCATCGCATTGTGCTAACCTTGCGAATAACTTTCTGTGGCTGTAGTCAGAGGGACGCGCATAATGACCAAAGCTTCCATAAATGTCGATTAAAGCGCACTCCTCCCCTCGTCTATAATGCCACAGAATGTTCCATGGGTAGAGTGGTCACTCCCACTTGTCCTT